ACTCGAACAACGTGGAAAAAATTATTTTGCCTTTTATATATCAGAGCAGCCTCAACAAAATATCAATATCAATCATTTTAAAAAAGAAAAACACGCTCTGAATCGACATACGAGCAGCAATTACTATTATCGTAATTATCGCGATCATGGTGTCATTAGTGTTGTTAATCGTATGCCACTACGAAAACCAAGATATTTTAGAAGTAAACAAATTTCAGATTCAGATAAAACCGCCATCCACACCACCAACGCCAACATCAACACCATCAACAGCAACAGCAACAGCAACATCAACATCATCAACAACAACATCAGCACCATCAACAGCAACATCAAGAGAGAGCGAGATCAGGAAACAATTTTTCATTGTTATAAAAAAGAAGCTCGTGACGAAAATATGATGCATCATCAATTGGATTCACGACCAGAAAACCTGAGAGGAGAGTATGACGAAACTGATTGCCATCTTAAGAACGAACCTATGAGTTCAAATTCCGAAAGTGAAACCGAACAAGACATAAAGATGGAATTACGTCAAGCAGGCGAGAATCGAGGATCAATTAATGGGCATTTTAGACGAATGACCGATTATGTGCCAGGTTTCCAAGAAACGAATGTTGGAATTCAACCTTTCGATAACTCTCATTCCTTCATACCTTTGCGGACAGTTGGATGCGGATTATCTTATGCGCCAATGCCAACTGGGTCGACAGTTCAAGTAATGAATAATGATTCGGAATGGTCATCAGAGGAACTTCAAGAATTACTATGGCAACTTTTACTTTCCGATTAGGGGTTTTTTTTAACTTGACCATATACGTCAAATTCATTTATCTCTCTCTCTCTCTTCCAAATTGGGATTTCTCAAGTTACAATAATGGGTCTATTATCAAATTACTCGACAATTATTTCGTAACTATCCCATCATCAATTAAAAAATAGTAACAAATTTTTATTATTCCTGTCACATGTATATGCTCGTAATAAAATTTGAAATAAACTTCCGTATAAGGTCATTGTGACGACAGCGTGACGATCGAAGATATGTTTATTACATGTATAACACCGAGTGATTTTACACCATTTGATTCATCTTGCTAAGGCGAATCAAATAGTGCAAAAAATCACTCGGTTCTGATCATTGGATCAAAGGTAGGGGTATTTTGACGCACAATAAGACTCTCTGTAAGCTATTTTATTAAATTTTCGCATTACAATTAAAAAATAGCGTCACAAAATTCTTATTTTTAATCGTAATCCGCATAGTACTCGATAATCTCAAAAATATCAATTGCCCAAGTATAAATAACGTAGTGAAAAGTTTGAGTTTTCAGAAGCTACTCTTTGACGTGCAATCAAAAATAACAGTTCTTCGGTTCATTCACTATTTTTACAGGACAACAAGAAAACCAATTCATTGGTATTGTGTTAATACGCAGAAGCTTGGATTTGATTTACCAAGTCTAATGGAAATTTTGTGTTTGCTGGATTTGGTTTATTTTGTATTATCACTTGTATTCTCCAAGAATTAGCTTAAGCTCATGCACAGAGGCCAATACAGCTATTATCAAAAACCATTTTTTTGACAAGCTTGAACAAATTATTAATAAAATTTATTGCTATGCAGATTTGGAATATGGATGAAACTGGATTTGTTTTTGTATCTAAATTGAAAAAGATTTAGCAAAAAAAAAGGCTCAGCTCACTGTGATTCATAAAATTACATGTAGAAATTCCCATAAATATATTTCAATGATTTCGACTGTCAAATTGTACATTTTACCTTGAATTATTTATAAGAATGCTTATACGATTCCTGGCTTGTTAGAAAATGTGTCTTTTAGAAATATAATGAATTTTACTAACACGCATAAAGACCTTTTCCAAATAAATCTTATTACATTTAATAATTCAATTTCTCCTATTCATCCTATTTTAATGATCATAAAAATCACATAAGCTATACAATTGTCAACTTTTTGTCACAGAAATGGAATTCTTATTACAATAAATATCATAATAATACAAACTACTAGATTACAAAATACATCTTTGCAACGGTTTTTTGATCCCTGCTTTTATCAAACTCATACATCATTAGCTATTTATGATGCTTACGGGCGGGTATATAAAAATATGAACATTTAATTACAAGACCATTCATTAGTCAAAATTCTTTATTTGAGAACAGAATGATTTAATATCATAACTTTATATAACCAATCTTTACAGCTAAACTTTCAAGTAAACCAAATAATTTATGTTCTACCTGCATCCTATTAAAAAAAAGATACAAAAGTTTCAGAAAAAGTCCTTTACATTCGGTCCTAACGTACATGATTCCTCATGCTCATCAAGCTGAAATTTTGGAATTTCTTCAACAAATCAACATGACCTGAATTACCCGCCCTTAAAAGAAGAAAAAACACTTCAAATCGCGCAACTTCTTAGCAATGAAGAAAGTTGGCAACGGTTAAAATGCAAAAAAAAAAGAAGTAAGAAAAAAGATTGCTGAAATAAGTAGAAGAAAGAGTTGGCGGCCCAAGAAAATCGAATGGCAGCGAAGTGATAGAAAAAAATGTGAAGAAGAGATGTACAAACTTTAAATAGAATATTTTTTTGTATGTCGAGATTCTAATTCGTCACAATCTCCCCAACCCTTATCACAATGTTTACGTTGAATTTTATTTCATGTAATAAAAAAAGACGAAATTTTATTTGATAAATAAAAAGGTTTTCCTTGTCACCCCCACCTTTATGTGTCATAACGATAATAGTTAATCACTTAAGGAAACAGATGTGATGATCTACAGCACGCCCAACTTATTCAGTGTCTTAATAAACGATATGCGTTGATTGTAGCATGCATTGTGCACTTTCCAGAAATTCAATAATGACAGAATACATGTATAAAGTCGATGTATTGTAGTACCTTTGTTATATGGTAATCGTACAAAGACAAATAATTCTTATTTAAAACACATTCTTTCTCCATATTAATTTTTTGATTGGCTTTTTTTTTCAGTTTAGATAAAGTCTATAGCTGAACAAATAAAATATAACTGAAACAAAATACTACAATACCGTAAACAATATTGTCAACCACCCTTAATCCGCATCAAAAAAACCATTAAATAAAACGTCATCATAATCTCATCACGCATAGAAAAAGAGCAACCATGAAAAAATTTAGTCGAAGCTGGTCAATTTCGTCTACTAATAATAAGAATGCTCTCTCAAAAACATTGAACAAATCAAGCAACCATGAAAGTGATTATCTTGATTTGAAGCAAGTTAGTTTCGAGAAACCAGTCAGCTGGATTCTCGTGAAACAATTAAAAGATGAAGGAGAAATAGCGCCAGACAAACTTATCTATCTAAACGATCTGTACGGATCACTGGTGATTCCAAGAATTTATTTGGGAAGGTATGTACTGGTTCTCTTTGTTGTTGTTGTTGTTGTTGTTGTTGTCGTTGTGATTTGTGATATTCGATTCGATGCACACGCATGTACGCTAACCAATAATCCATGCATTCAGCCGACACGCGGCACTAGATAAAGATTGGTTGACTGACCATAATATCACACATATTCTCACAGTAGCTCATAATTTAAAGCCTGCTTTTCCACAGGTATAACTATAACCATATGTTCTTAAAAGCTATCGCTATGCGTGTTTTGATAAATTAAATGCAACGTTAATTTTTGATAGGAATATGCATATAAAGTGATACGAATTAGAGACAGCCCAAACGAAAATATTCTTGAACATTTCGATTCGTGTCATCAATTTATCGAGAAAGCATTATCAGATGAAAGGAGCAATGTTTTGATTCATTGGTGAGTGAATAAATCATCGAGTTTTTCTGAGATACTTATGTGAATAACATTGCTCCTATATTATCATCTCCATAGCCAGGCGGGAATTTCACGCAGTGCTTCAGGTAATACATTCTTTATTATATTCTTTATTTTTGAATTGGATTACTGATATGTGTGTTTATTCTAAAATTATTTCTGTAGCATTAACTGCATATTTAATGAAATCACAAAAAATGCAATATGACAAAGCACTTACTTTAGTCATGTCGAAACGATCCTTTGTCTGGTAAATTTTGTCGTGTCGCACACACAAGCTATTGAATAATGATAATAAAAATTTGTAATTTTAGTCCGAATTTGGGATTTCGATATCAGCTACAACTGTACGAGAGATTAGGCTGTAATCAACCCAAAAAACATCTTCAATATTGGAAATTCTTGATTCAGCTCCGAGGAAGAGCATTGGTCGAGTAGGTTTTTAGCCTTGCCATTTTTCCGTTTCTTACAAGAAATCAATATACTAATTTATCAACGTTAATCATAGAACGATAGCATTTTATCGATATTAGATTTTAATTCTTGGTTTCTCTTTTTTATTATTATCTTGAATTGCTATTTATTAGCAATTTATTTTACAGTCATCCCTCTACGCTATAAGAATAATCATAAACGATAATAATTTCTTAGAACCCATCTATTTATTGAGCAGTTTACTTCTCTTACATAAGAACATTTTTAATTATTTAAAATTATCGAGATAGATGTCTGAATCTCGACTCAAATCTTAAATTATTTTCGTTTTCCTTTAAGAACTTTTGAAAGATACCGATACGTAATTATAAATTTTCTGAAAAAATCACCAATCGAAAGATATTGTCAAATTCCTTTTCTTGTTACACCCGGACATTAATTTATACAATACTCTTTTGTTTGTTTATAAGTATCACATATATTTGAAGCATTCAATCTCATTTTTAAGTTTCCGAAAACATTAAATCACAGGTATGGTTAAACAAAGAAAGTTGTCACTCATCATATACATGTATATACATGTACAGTATAATGTCAACAATTTATTTTCTTGTATTATTGAAGCCAGAGTCGGGTTCTTTTAAAGCTAAAATGTCATCAATTTTATGAAAATAATAACTTCAATTCGATTGTTCATTTTACAAAAGAACAATCCGCAAAACTACAAATCTTCTCTTTGATCAAGCCAGTCACAGCAAATAAAGGTAGTCTCATAGAATATTAACAAATCGTTTTGTGATTAGAATAATTCTTTAAGAAAAATCTAAAATTTTTGAAAAAATATATATTAAATTATAATTACAAATATTATTCTAAAATAAACTAAAAATTATAAACGTTAATATAAAGAAAATTTAAATTTTATTATATTTTATAAGCAAAATTGACATTTTAATTTCATGATTTTGAGAATTACTATATATTCTATACGTTTGAATATTATGTTTAAAATTATAATTAATAAAAAGTCTTATTACATGTAGTATCAAATTCAAAACTTCAAAAAATTTATTTATTAAATTATATAATAACTATCAAAAATAATGTATCAGAAGATCAAATTTGTTAATAAAATATAGTAAAATTAAAATTTTTTCGCTATATTAAAATTTAATAATTTATAACTTGACATGTATTTTTCAAATTTTTTAGATTTTCTGAAAGTTATAAAGTTAAATACAAAAATATCTTCTAATTAAAAATAAAATTTAATTAATAAGAATTTTTGTGACAATATTATAATTAGATTAATTTTCTTTAAAAAAATATTTATTAATATGTAAATATTTTAATATATTACTTTTGTTAAATATTATAAGAAAAAATATAATTAAATTATTTTTATATAATATTTATAATATATATAATTTTCAATCTATTTTTTACATTTATTTTATTATTTTAAAATAATATTAAAATAAAGAATTCTAACTTTATTTAAAATAAAAAAAAAGCTTTAATATAAATAAAAAATTTTAATTTTTATTATATTTTATTTTTTTATTATATTTTCTTATAATATATTATATAATTATTATTCTTTATAATTATTTATTTATAATAAAATCTTTTTATAAGTAATATTTATATTTAAAATTAATTATTTAATAAATTTATTAAGAAAAAATTACTATAATTTATCATATAAAGAATTTAATAAAATTCATATTAGCTTTTAAATCTATAATATATTATTTAAAATACTTATTTAATAAAACTATTTAGTGTACTTATAATATTGGCTAATTTTAATATATAAATTATATATAGTAATGTTCATAAATATTGTATTAAAGAATTAATTTTATTAATAAAATATAATAAAAATTATAATTTTCTCTTTATATTAAAGTTTATGATTTTTATATTATAAATTATAATTTAATATACAATCAGAATCAAAAATTTTTGAAAAATTTTTATATAATATTAATTATTATGACTTATTATAAATTACAAATTAAATAATAATATATTAAATAAAATTTTATATAACTAAATTATAATATATTTTTTATAGATTTCTTTTTATAATACTATTACAAGTTATCTAGTTAAAAATTTTCTTCAAAAAATATACCAGTCATAATGAATTGATTATCAAACAATTCAAATCTTAATTTAATTAAAAACTTATAAGATTTAGTTAAAAGAAATATAAAAAAAGAAAATCAAAAAATTTGAATAATTGAAAGAAGTTTATAATTAAAGAGTAAGAATTAATACTAAATGAAGTTATAAATAATTTGATTATATTAATAAGAGCAAGATACAAAAAGATTATTAAAATAAAGAAAGAAAAAAATAAAATTTTATTTTTATATAATTTAAACTTGTATTATATTATTAAATAAATTAAACTGTTTGTAAATATAATTACAATTTATTAAGTAATATCACATAAAAACTTTTGATCTTGATTATATATTTTTTAGATATTTTCTGAAAGAATTATTCTAATTGCAAAAATTTTTTTCTAATTAAATTTCATTTTAATAGAAAAAATTTGAAGTAACTTTATAATTAGAATAATTCTTTAGAAATATCTAAAAAATTTGAAAAAAATATATGTCAAATTATAACTTATAATATAAAAATAAAAATTATTTCTTAATAATATTCTAAGCTTTAATATAAAGAGAACTTTTCATTTTTATTATATTCTATTAATAAAATTAATTCTTTATTGTACTATTTATGGAAGTTACCATGCTAAAGTGAATGATTTAAGAGAAAAAAATCAAGTTTTATATATTTATTTTGTTTTATTAAATATTAATTAAAATAATATTTGTTATTAAAAAGGTTTTAATCTAATAAAAATATATCAGCAAAAATATATTATTAAAAAGATTTTAATCTAATAAAATATATTAATAAATTAATAAAACTACACTTATAATATTATAAAATATATATATATCTTAACTAAATAATTTGATTCTTATCTTTATATACTATTTAACAAAGATTATTCAAATCTGTTAAATATATAACTGATTTGATTTATTTAACTAAAAATATGATTATGATTGAATCTTCTTTCTTTAATAATTTTAAAGACTTAGTACTAAATCTCTCTTGTTTAAAATGAAATTTCATGTTATTTATAAAGAAATAATTATATATACAGCCTCTGTTTAAACGAATTGATGGTTCTGGTAAAAAGAGTTCAGTATAGAAAATTACCATGTTTTATATAGTGCCGTTATTCTTTTTAGAACTCATATGAAATTTTAAACTTTAAAGTTCGACTACGAATTAAAGAGAGTCGACTAGAATTTCCGTGTGCTACAATAAAATTTTTTTACAATCATATTCTTTTATAATATCGAGATTATTATACGTATCAATTGGCCTTCACATTGTCAAACAATATATATTAATATGTATCATACAGTAGTGTATGATAGCGAAATAAGTATTTCGGATTACGTAATTAAATGTCGACGGGATAACCAGGCAGCTAACTCCTAACCTGAGAACGTCTTCCTAAGATTAACGTTGACGTTACGTATTCATATCCCAAATAAGAATTGATCCATGAATGATCAGCTCAAATCGATAACATAAACATGTGCTTCAATGATAAAAAGCAACACACAAACATTTAATCATAACAATAATACCGATACGCAACGATAATGGATAAATCTTGCGGTTGTGACGACGACGACTTGAATAATCTCTATAGATCGAAAAATCACACTATTAAATTACGAGACCAAAAAATACAGGAACTGGAATTTCAAATACAGCAAACACGCAAAGAATTAAAAAAAACGATCGATGAAACAAATTATGTGCGAAAAAAGATTGAAGAAAGTCAATTGGATACGGAAGATGGTCAACTGAATACGAGTCTCGGTATAATAAGCAATGTCAGCGATCGTGTAAAAGGTGTTGATCAAAGTTCGTTTGTACATGTTTGTAATTGTTTAAATGTTATCAAATAACTTTTATTTAAATATTTTCTAACGTGAAGAGATGTTACCTCGCCGAATTTTCTTTGGAATGGACCAAATCATTGATCAACGTAAACTCGAACATGAAATTGAGAAATACTTTGGTCCAGTTGAAAAGTTGAGTATACTCTCAACTAAAGTAAGTGGCTGTTCTAAATTTTAGTTTCAACATCTTTGATGTTTTGTTAATTGCATTGCTAATAATACCACAAAATATTAAAATAGATGAGTGGATTCATAACATTTGAATCGCCGACTTCATATTTCAACGCAATAAATGCCGAACGCGTTCGTATTGAGGGAATTCGCGTCTATTTCTCCAAGGTTAAGAATCCTATTCATTGTGAAGATTTTTGACGAAGGAAATCATTTTAGATTATTTTTTCCTATCGATATGATCGTCACTAGTATAGCGATAGCTTATGGGGGTTGATTTCTCATAGGCAGTAGAATTTCTAATTCTAACTGAGATTTTGCAAAATAAATTTTTTACAAAAGAATTTAAAGCACGTGCGATCTAGTAAGATTCAATTTGGAATCTTCGAATCTTTTGAAATCAAGTGGTAGTAAAAAGACTTAGTCCATTCGATATTGCAATGCCGAACATATCGAGGGAAAGTTTGTCAATTATATTTTACTATTTTTTATCAATCATTCTCAGTGATTTGTTTACCAAAAAGCTTGATAACGAATATGGAAAGCTAAAATCCAATAATAATCGTTTTTGGAATATTTTGGCGTTAGCTAATACTGTAATGACTAATAGAATACGGTATAATTTTAAGATTGATATTACATGTTGATGCACATGCGTCACGAGTGCAGATAAAATCTGCGAACAAATAGCAATAGCTAATATTTTTTGATTTCAAGGTGGTTATTATTATCAACCAATCATTGACTAAAATCCCGGTTCAAATGTGAGTCTACGAAGGTATTTATAAATGTAGATTTGCCTATACCAGTCTCACTGAGCAACAATATGTTTATTTCTTTTTCCATTGCTGGTCATTAGATGCAGAAATACAACGAAACCGTAATGAGTATCAAGAATTTAAACAACGGTTTCGTCTCTTCAG